ACTTACGTCGGTTACGTCGTTTACGTCGCTTCCGTCGGTTTTGTCCGTTACGTGAGATCGATACGAATACAATCTTCGCGAACTAGTCGTCGAAAACGTCGGTTACGTCGCTTTCGTCAGTTACGTCGACGTTGAGACGCCGTCGCACGGTATCAAGCAGCCTTATCGGTGTTGAAACAGGTAATGATGCAGCTTTCACTGCACGGTGCTCTCTTAATGGTAGCAGCAAGTGGTTCCCCCTCGCTGAACTTTGTCGTGTACAATCCCACACTGACAAACAACAGTACCATGATGGGACTTTGACACGTTGAACCAGGCAAGCCCGAAAAACGTGCAGCTTGTTGAAGATTACTGCTGCTACGTTGGGACGTTGATCGGACGTTTGCATGAGCTGGTTGAAGCGTAGATCGTCGCAAGATCGACGCCTGTGCAGTGCAAGAGACGAGACGGAAGATGGGCCAGCTACAGGTTGAAAAAACCGACCGCGGCTTTCAAGTCGTTGTTTGTGAAAGACTGAAAACTACAGGTAGTGAGGCTATAATCTGGCTCAGCGGTTCCGCGACTTGATTACTAGCGTATTTCGGCCGCGCAGTGATTGTCGCTGTCGAGCAATATACCACATCTCCTCCGCTACGCCTTTCCAACTGGATGCTCAATGCAGTCCAAGGACAATTTCTGGGCTCTGCGGGATGAGAAGAGGGCTGGTGCCAACAGAAGACGCCATTACTGCTGCTGGCGATCCAAATGGACAGAGGGTTTTGCGAACGGTGGCTACATTTGTCATGGTGGAATCGGATATGCAACACGGAACGTCGGCTTGAGCAAATCATTGAGTATGCGCATTCGCGTGATCTCGTCATCTGAACACAAAGTTACGCGAACGTGATTTCCATCGCATCATCGTTTGGCTAGAGTAAAGGGACACAAATAGATTTTTCCCGCATCAGGCATGTCAATCAAGCACCTGTACCAGCGCTACGCTAGTGCCGTATGAAGCAGTGGCCATGCAACGGCCCGCTGGCCTGCACGCTCAGGCTTGCGCCTCTCAGACTGAAACACACGGAGTGATGCGGTCCTGTGAGATTGTCCTGTGAGATTAAGTGGTGGCGACTGGAGGAGCTGCAGGCGGTTGTGGTTTATCGCATTCGATTACTTAAGGTCAAAATTGTCGGCGAAACCTGGAAAGAAGCCATTGATTCGGCCAACGAAGCTGCCCGCTTCAAACTTGGTACAACAAAACCCGCACGGCGGAAAACTGACAAAGAGGCCTGGATGTGGGCAGATTTGTGAAAGATGCAAAGCTGGTCTTTCTGTGGAGGCGGACAGGTTAACGAACCTCTTCAACCAGGTTACCGAAGAGAAGAAGATACTCGAGGGCTGATCGCAGACCATGATGATTACTATAGCAATAGAAGGGCTGTTCGGCAGACCGCTTGAACTATCGTCTAGTTTCCCTACTCCGCACACCAAGAGAATCTCCAAACGAACTGTTGATGGCCGTGATCGTCCAGCTGACTACCAAATGATGCGGCCGGACTTGCACCATCAACATCACATACGCCTCTTGATTTTTGCTGGGGAAAACATCGTCAAGAGTAAAAGCTTATGTTTGTGCTCCCAGAGAAGACATTTGATCGCGTTCTGCGTGAAGGTATACGCTCTATGACAGCACGACCTTCCTGGAGAGCCAACTTACTGGACATGCATCGTTTATTCAAACCTAGAAAGCCAAGTGCGGACATCTGCAGGCAGATGCTAGGACAGGTGGCTGAGGTCCGCACTCTACGGACATACACTTACTTGACTTGTTGAAACAAAATTATGAAGACAAAAGTAGCAGAAAAGTTGATCTCGGAGTAATGTTAAATCTTGAACATAAATATGAAGCTCTCTGGGCAAGACATCGTCTCTGGGGTGCAGACGGGCCTTGACATGCCCTATGTTTAGCAAGACAACACTGTGGAAATTTTCATAACTCCGTCCATATAAATGCTCGGCAGATTCTGGGAAGCATATTCTAAATCAGCGCTTGGAAGTTTATCTGTCAGGTGAAGGATTCACTACGGCCACTTGAAACTGGAAGCTTTCCCTCGCCAGGTGAAAAGCTAGACGGCACAGTATGGTCATCCACCGTCAGTGATCACCCTAGTAGATTCATCGGCGCTATTCACCCTTTACTGCCCCAGCCATCCGAAATCAGGCCAGTTCCTGACCGACATTTTTCTCCGTGGAATTTGCTGAAAACTTGACTCCAGGTGTAGTTCGTCCCGCTGAGCACGAATATCGCATCCGCTTGACGCGAAATCTCCTGGCGCCCGCACCACGGGCGCCGGCGCCAAAATACTCGAAATCACCAAATTCGCTGAAAACTTGCTCCCAGGGGTAGTTTGACCCCCTGAACACGAATATCACATCCGCTCAACCGAAGCCTGCTGGCGCCCGCACCACGGGCACCGGCGCCAAAACACCCCAATTCATTGGCGCCTGTGGCGCGGGCGCCAGGAAGTTTCGAATAGAGCGAATGTTATATTCGTATTCTGGAGGTCAAACTACCCCAGGAGACAACATTTGAGCAAAATCTGCCCACGGAGAAAAAAGTCGATCAGTAACTGGCCCGATTTCGGATAACTGGGGCAGTAAAGGGTGAATAGTGCCGATTCTTGGAGCGCCGGACTGGTCAGTCATAAAGTTGAAAAGGAAAATTATAGCTTCTGAAAAAGAGCTAGAGTAACTGGAAACACAGCCAACTGATTCAACTACATATATTCATAAAAATTTCTTAAATACTCGGTTGTCAACCTGTGAGTATATAACCCTTGTCGAAACACTACTTATCGGGTTATACACCGCGAAGCATAATCATGGTTCACCCATGAATCTCACAGAACCCGTCTCACACGACGTTTTCAAAAATGCCCCATACAGAAAATATGGTAATTACCAATACCAATTCGCACGCCAACACCAAACTCTAGCGTGAAAAAATTTTTTTTAGTCAATTTTTTTCAAAAATGGTCGTTCTGACAACGCAGCAAAAGTGTAGTTCCACCGCATATTTTCCGGCTGCATCTCAGTTTTGTTCGGTGAAACTTCTCATGATTACGACTCCTTGCCTCTTCTAGGCTATGGCAAGTGGAAGTTCATTAATAGACCTCGAAAAAGGACAAATGCAAAGAAGATTCCAAAACGGCCGGACCGTAAAATCGGGCTGGATTCGGGCCGCACTCATCATGCTATCAACAATTTTTTCAAGGAGCCTACAGGATATTGAGCTGAGAAGAGCTCTGGATATTCTCCTCCGCTGCCCAATCGGAATAACCGCCGTATCCTTAGAAAAGCATCTAACTCTGCCGTGTCGTGTTGGGAAATCAAGTCATCTTCGCAGGTTAATGTCTCGGAGGATACTGTTCGTCTCTTGAAAAACTCCCGAGTTCACCCATAGGGGGGAAAACAGTTATGTACAGTTTCTAACGAAAAACAATCGCGAAAGCCTAATTGGCTTTGCTCGAAGATGTTGCCGAACCCAATGGAGTAAGGTCAGCTTTTGGCTGCGGTGCCCTACTGCTTGTCTGTGTTGTTTTTTTTCAGTTTTTTTTTCTCGCGATCGTGTATTCTGATGGAAAAAATTCAATTCACGACGGCTCCGACGAAAACCGATTCCGCTGGCACGACCTCAGGAAAGACATGTTTCATTTTTTCGGTCGGAACTTTAGTGGATGTGGTCTCATGGTCTGGGCTACCATCGCAGGAATGGAACGCTGAAATTGCGCTCCGTATGAGAAAAGAAATGATTTCTTCCGTCATCTAAAAGTCATGCGACAACGTCTGCTTACCTTCTGGCGTAGAAATCAGGAAGAAAGTTCCGTTTTCATGCAGCATAATGCACCAGTTCATGACAAACGAAACACTCGAGCGTGATTCAGTTGTCACCAAACCGCTCTTTTGCCATGCCCAGCGAGTAGCCCCGACTAAAACCAAATCGGAGATGTGAGGGGCCTCACGGTGCGTATGATCCATGAGAGTAATGCACAATTCCACCATGTCCGTGAACTTAAGGAGTAATCAGCGGGCAGTCGGCCGAAAGCCTATTAAATCTCTAATCGAACATGGGCAACCGTATATTCGTTTAGCTGTGCATTTGTTGCTGGAATATTCGATTTGTTCGGTGGAACTATACTTCTGCTGCGTTGTTAGAACGACCATTTTTGAAAATATTGATGAAAAAAAAGTTGTTTTTTCAAGTTAGTGTTTGTTGTTGGCATGCGAATTGGTATTGGTAGTTACCACATTTTTTGTATGAGGGCATTTTGGAAAACTTCGTGTAAAACAGGATTTTGTGAGATTCATGGGTGGAACTATGATTATGCCTCGCAGTGTAAGTTTGGCGACATGGGTGACGATGCTCACTCAGTACATCTCTTTTGCCGAGCGGGATATGGGCTGGGATGCGGCCTGATCAAAAAAACACTTCGAGAAGATTTTAAATCTCCAGTAACCACATATTGTCTGGGAACATAATTTGTAGAATATATGGTGGCTGTAACCCATATAGTTGTGTCATTGTGAGTATTTTCCATAGGAGATACAAATTATTTCCGTGGGGAAAAAAGGTAATTTCTAGAAACGTGAAACTGAAGCTCCATAAGCAGATACATGTGAAAGGGTAACTTCTGACAATGAGAAATTTGGATCAGTCAACTACTTCTGGGGCGAGAATGCGCTGTTTTCCAAGCTTGCTCTCACGTTCTATGTGGACAAGCTGGAAGCTCATGGAACTGTGGTTGATCTTGGAAGTAAACAGAACCATCAAAGCCTCACTATCTTCTGCCTTGAGTTCTGGACCTCAGAACTGCTCTGGTATAAACGTGTGCCGGCATTTATGTGTATTTCCCAAATATGGAGAAAACTACGTTTCTGCGCGAAAGACACGCGAAAAGTAGCCTTGTGACTAATGTGTCAAGGAAGAGAAATCCAAGGAAATAGTATAGTGCATCCAGTAATATCCACGAAAGAAGAAGGTGTGCATACCAATTCCACATCATCCAGCCACATGTGGTGTAAAACATCATACGGTCACAAGAACGACTATTTCCTTGGATTAAGTGCTCCTCCACATGCTTCAACAGAGTGCCCTTCAAACATAATAAGCAGTAGTAACAACGTTTCCAGTGAATAGAGTGCAAAAAGATGATTCAACGCGAAAACACTGCTCAAGCCAGAATCGAGCTTAAAAGGGCGTCTTCCAGGTCATGGGACATCTTACCAAAATGGAGTGTAGCATTCTGTAGTAGCACAGCACATACACGGAAGTTAAGAGCGAGATTCATTTTTCCCTGTCCGCTTCTAAGAATGCCAAACAACGGTCACAAAATTTCACAATGCTATGTTTTCGTCTTGTGCTCGTATAGTCTGAAGAATTTGTCCAATTAGAAGCTTTCCCAAAAGACGCTCGAACATCTCTTGTTGAGAGAACAGAGCTTTTTCTGCTACCCATCTCGTTGTGAACTCGCTTTTCATCACAAACTTGGTTTATAGCAGTGAGGGACTGCCCTGATTAGGATTCTGATACCGAATACCGGTAAAGGCACACAATGACGGTCATACTGATGAATTTCGTTAGTTTTGTAGTTGTAACAGGTCGTTACACCTAAGTAGTTGAGTAATGCCGACATCCAATACCTTGAATAACGCATATTCGGATTATACTCGTTTGCAGAAGCATAAAAAGCGCAAGAAATTGAAGATATGGATGATGCAAAAATTTGCTTTTCGGAGTCGCTGAAGCAATTCCAATGCTTTTTTAAACGAATTCCGCAGAAAACACTTTATTCCAAACTTCATCGTTGCCCGCTCAACGAGAACCTACACACTGTAGTTGATGCTATAAGTGGTACACAACGCTACAGTTTCATCTGAGTGACTCCTCCACAGCGATTTTTTTTACTCCTTTTTGGCAATCTTAGGAGCGCGCAGGTGAAACGATCTCCTTCTCTATGGTCATTTACCAATACAATGTGGAACAAACAGTGTCGAAAAGAGCTCCATAATCTGAAAGACACCCCGTAAACGACTGTAAAAGAACTTACCCCCACGGTATGAACCATCGCTTTAGGAATACCAGTCGTCCCACTAGAAAACATGATGAACAGAGGATGGGAAAACGGCACCTAAAACAAACCTTTCCTAATTCGTTGGAGAAAATGGCACATTAAATCTTCCTTCCAGAAAACACTGGGTTGGCAAGAAAGTTCGTCGACTGAACGAAAACTTTTTGAATGCTTTATACGTTTTTCAAACGCAGAACCTAAACAAGATATTTGCCTGAATAACAAATAGCATTCTTCTACTTTCTGATATAGCATTTTGCCATTTGTTAAGATGCCAGCGGGCTGCCCCTCGCTAAGACATCATTGACTTCCACTTTGAACAATCAAATTTTTATTGGCATTCCTCGCAAGCGGTGCGGCAACCAGAGCAACTACCGGTCAGAAGGTCTGAGCAATATCAAGAAGTATATCATGGGTGGGACAGGCTAGCCGGACCCTAGGATTTTCTTACAGGTGCCTGAAAATCTCCAGAGCAGTATTTGTACTTGTCTTGGAGGGTGTTAGGAACTATAGAAAAACTAAACACAGATAAAAACTGATAAGGCAGAAAATGCTGCATAACGACGGCAACGCGGGGCTTGTCGCGCCCATCGCTAAGACATCATTGACTTCCACTTTGAACAATCAAATTTTTATTGGCATTCCTCGCAAGCGGTGCGGCAACCAGAGCAACTACCGGTCAGAAGGTCTGAGCAATATCAAGAAGTATATCATGGGTGGGACAGGCTAGCCGGACCCTAGGATTTTCTTACAGGTGCCTGAAAATCTCCAGAGCAGTATTTGTACTTGTCTTGGAGGGTGTTAGGAACTATAGAAAAACTAAACACAGATAAAAACTGATAAGCAGAAATCTGCAAACGGACGGCAACGCGGCGGCTGTCGTTGGAGCGCCAGCTTCCTGTGAGTCACCTACTAATGGTAAGAACTGTGCTCTGACGCTTGCTCTAGTCATTAGTGAGAGAGTTTTTCAACTCTATTATGGATTCAATAAAAAATCTCACGCTCAGAGAAACGAGCGGAACTTGCAGTCTTGCTCAAAAATACACCTACATATTACAGTCGCCATTATATGTCTTGATTATTATCCTCTAGAGTGGAAGTAAACGTGTTGTCCCGTAGTCTCAGACTAGGGCTACTTAGTAAGCAAAACCGTTAACATTCTCAGGGATCTTGCCTGCTCCCCACAAATCCTATCCACAGCGTCAACGTGGCGCGGGAACGGTTTCAGCCGTACAAATGCGGAACACGTTAAAGACTGGCAAGCTACGCGTAGTTAATTCATATGCCGAGCACAGTAATGGATGTGGGCCTCATCCCCTGAACCTGAGTGAGCCACTAGGTGGTGTTGGTTGGAACCGCTAGGGCGAGGCTGCCAGAGTCTCAAGGTCATCGGAGAATAAAGCTGCTCAGGACTAGGATGACAATACTTTCAACGCTTGCGCCGGAAGCTTGCGTAGAAGATTGATGATGCATACCAGCAAAATCAAGTACGACGTCATGGAGACGGACGGACGGAGGCGAGAGCCCGCTACACACCGTGTACGAAACAGAACGGTTTCTCGGAACATGCGACAGCAGAGGCGTCGGCGTGGGTGTCCTCGTCAACACGCACTTGGTTATGAACATCGATTCGTACAGGTATCCACGACCCGAATCGGACGTTTGCCATTAAGAAGATGTGGCAACTCCGGCTTCAACAATCTTCGTCGTATGCACAAACATCGAAATACGACGAGGAGTAACTCGAAGCATTCTATATGGAGTTGGAGAAACTCTACAAGAATCCATGCCTTCCTCGAGGTCTGCGTCGGCGATTTCAACGATAAATTCGGACAAAAAGAACGGCTGAAGGACTTCAATCGGAACTCACGGAAAAGAATGGACTGAGCAGGGTGGAGAACTGTCTGAGTTTATTATGTCGACCCATACCATCCATGGTAACTCGCAGTTCCAGAGGCGCTATCTTCTACGCTGCTCATGGTAGTGTCCTGGTAGACAATTTCATACCGAGATCCACCACATCATCGTCAATCGGAGGTATTGCCTGAAGTCGTCGCTGTTGTTTCTAAGTTCTACACGGGTTCTGACCAACGTCTCATTGCGCGAGATTCTACTTCATGATGCAAGGAGAGAGCAGCAACGTTCGAGAAGCGAACTCCCAAGATTTTCATCGATTGAAATCACTTTACTCCTTTCTTTAGGAGGATTCCCTTATCGACAACATTGGCTGGGAATACGAAGGGCTTGTGAACGTCCTCATGACCGTGCCAAGAAGTCAGAAAGTTTCACGGTTACCAATTTCACGGTTACTCTGTCTTTGGAAACTCTCGAGCTGCTCCGCTCACGTGGAGTTGCACGAGCTACAGGCAACTATTGACTCTCCATTACCAGTCCAAGCTCGTGAAGTTATGCAGAGTAGCGATAAGAGAACACCTCAAAGAGAGACGAGCAGCAGTAGTGGTGCAAGCAGCAGAGGCTGGGAGGAACATCCGAAACGCTCGCTGCTTTGCCAACTGCAAGACCGAGATGACCGGCCTTTGACGTCCGGAACAACAATAACTGCATTCCGAAGGGCAATAGGGAAGGTCATCCAGACTTCTACTGCGACCTTTTTGACAGCCATGTCTGCCTACCTCCGTATTGTTTGGAACAGGATGAACACGTCGTTCCTCTCTTTTCCGAAATATGACAAGTCATCTCGTCATTGAAGAATCGTAGGCCACCCGATCCTCATAAGATCAGACCCGAGCGCTACCTGTTGAAATGCAAGGTAGCTACCTCACGGGAAATCAGAAGGACTGTGTTGCTTTACAAGAAAGGAGATCTACACGTGGCAATTATCGCCCAATCTGCCTGCTGTGTGTAGTGCAAACCCTTTGCACGAGTCATCTGAGCAGGATCGGCAGAACACTAGACGAAAGGACAGTCATGCGAGCAAGCAGGGTTCTGGACACAATTCGGCAAGATCGATCACATCCACATGGTAAGGACGCTCATCATAGTGTCGCGACAGTACGAGATGCCGTCACTCACGTCTGCGTCTCACGTTCAGCGACCTTAAGAAAGCCTTTGACTCCGCTGAGAAAGAATTTTTTATCGCGACTTTCGGCAACCGGGTTCCTATTCCGTATATCAGGACTCCTCCATTATCTCACCATTCCATGAGGATCATCATCGGCGTAAAGAGAGGAGTTTGACAGAGCGCTGCCATCTCGTCCAACCTTTGAGCGCCTGTCTCGAGGACGTTATACGAATGGAAAAACATGGGAGTGGAGATTGACGGCCATCAGTTCATCTCCGCTTTGAAAGGTGACATTGTTCTAATAACACCAAACATCGAGCAAGTTGGTCGAATGCTGGCTGACGATTGCGCGTGTGAAGAAATGGAAAAAACGCGATTTGTGAATCTGAAAAAAGATGATGTTCATGAAGGACGGACTGATTTCTGATGCCCCATTTTCGCTTAACGGAACGAACATCACTGAAGCCCCTATGCGTACCTGGGTGCGGAAGTAATCTTGGGGAGCTTAGAAAATCGAGGGAGTAGCGAAGAAGAGCAAGAATATCCGGCTCCATGCTCACCTCTTCTATTCCGCGGTCCTCCCTGCTTCAACTTACTAACACTTGGACTCTGTGAAAGCAGGACGAACATGCGGTCAGCGTCGTTCAACGCGCCATCGAAAGAGCGTCCGTCGATGAACATAGATGCGAGAGATACATAGACACACACAGTACAGATCACTGTATTTGCCAACATCTCGAAGATCAGGAAGGGCGGGCATGCCATGCGTTACGAAGATGACCGCTGGACCAGAACGACTACCGACCGGATTCCATGGGATGTTAAGCGAACACCTAAACGACCGCCCTCAGACTCCTTCGTAAAAGGTCTGAGAGAATGGTAAAAGTTCAATGTGCCTCTCGAGCACAGTGAACTCATTGAGCAACTCTAGCGCGTTGCAGGAACGAATGTAGTCGTAATTGGCGTCCGTTTCAGCAACCCCTTGATTAACGGGGGCACAGGTTATATGGATGACCTTGTTTCCAATGGATAACAGGATTAAACAGTCCCCCACTAGCATATGGTGAGCACTGAAGCACACCTGTTGGACCTTAGTCGTGAGTCATACTTTCGTTGATATTACGCAAGCACACTCGCCGGTGATGTTCGGAGAGTAACGAAACCGTTCTTAATTGTGTGCTAATGAAAATTCGCTGTTGTCTGTGACTTGCTGGGAAATGACGCGGGGTGTGAACAGGAGCCACCACAGCCTTGTATACGCTCTCTGAAGTAACAACGTAACCATGTCTTCCATGATTACGCACTCATTTCGTATCTGTTCTATCATATCCCACCCAAGCTTGGGGGAAGGGAGGGACTTCGCTCCTTTCAGTCCAATTTTTTATTTGCTCTGGTGAGGTTTCTACCATGGGCAGTTCACAGCTCAACGCTGTGACAGTTCACAGCTCAACGCTGTGAACAAACAGCACCTGGTTTATTGTCGTCACAGAGTACCCATTTTCATCACCACTTAATAGATCCGCAAAAAACCTCTTGGTGAGCAGAAAAGCAAACTCTCAAGAATGCTGAAGCCACCTGTTTTTAGCATCCAAAAATATACGAAACACCAGGTATCCGCCTCCATACACTCGTGTGTTATAGCTCACCGCTACTCACCCATGACCATCGCTTTTTCCTCAAACTTAGCACAAAATCCCAGATTTAGCTAGAAACTTCTTCATGAGGTAGTCTGAAGCCCCGAATACAAATCCACACTCTTTTGGACCAATGGTGCTTGAGGTAGGTGCCGAGGAACCTTCGTGCGTCTGGCGCTAAAGAATTCCTCTTCGAGAACCTCTTCCGGTGACTAGTGAATGCTGAAAATGAACAAACTGAAACCTGAAATCGTTTTACAGTGGTCAAGCACACGTTTCAAGAAAAAATGAAACCAGCACACAGCTGCCCAATCCAACCACAACCATAACGACGCTTAAGGGGTTCACATTCGTGCCGAAATCAGATAGCACAGGCAAGAAAAAAGCTATAGCATAATTTAGAGTATCGTTCTGCAGGCTTGAAAGTCAGATTTGGAAATCGGCGCCCAAAGATGCCCGTAGGAGTATGCATTTCACACATCTCATCTCAAATGGCTGCGGTGAATTAGGATTCTTCTCTCACCAGTCTTCTTGCAGTTCTGCTGAATAAATTATGACCCAAGCATGGACTTTGATGCGTCAAGACTGATTAGTTGAAACCATGACGCTGAGAAAATTATGTTGCAATGCAATGCAAATGCATTACGATAGCAATGCAAATGCACTACGATACCCAACGAATGACAAAAAAAACTGAAAGTGCTTCAGACCAAAAAAAGTTGCAAACCTGCTCAAAGACGAACGGGAATGGAACATTCTTTACAGAGTGTACAAAGGAATGCATACTTTCGTACTTCTCTCCGTGTTCATACATTCGAAAATCAACCACTGAATCCAGATTGTTGAATTGAACAATTTTTTTCAGAGACGGCAACCCTGAATGATCTAGCATTATCTTAAAAAGATTCGAATCGTTGCTAACAAGCTCAGTTAGCACATTTGTCCGCTTTCCCATTGTATCCCATCCTCACTGAGTCCAAGAAGCTAGGATCTAAGATTGTCTTGAACTGGAAGACTTTCTTAGGATCGTTGTCGACAATATCACCACGCTAAGAAGTCAGGGAGTTTCAAGGCTACTAAGAACCGACTACCTCTGAGAACACTAGAGCTGATCCGCCAACGTGGGACCGCGTGATTCAAAGGCAACTGGTGATCAACGTACAAGTTCGCTATTTAGAGGAGCGATAAAGGAAGAAGCCAAGGATAGAAGAGCAGCAGCACTGTGGAGAAGGCATCCACGACTTGTACACCGATCTCCTCGACAGCCACTTCCACCTGCCATCGCACCGCCTGGAGCAGGGTGGTACGTGGTTCCTGTGGTTCTCTCATCCGATGTGCGACACGCTATCTCGTCGGTGAGGAATCGTACAGCACCCGGTCCCAATAGCGTCAGACCTGAGATGTGAAGATCTCTGCCAGTTCCCGTCAAAACTGTGGCTCCACTCATCACGCGTTACCAGCCGGAATGCAGGATACCCACACACGAACAATAATTGCGGAATATGCCTGCTGTCTGTAGCCTACCGACTCGACACGAGTCATCCTACACGGGAACACCAGATGAAAGACAGCCATGAGAGGAAGCACGGTTTGGAAGGGGATCCAGCACGATCGATCACACCTACGCAGTAACGAAGCTCATCGAAGCATTCACTTTTGCCAGCTTGGAGAACGGCTTCGATACCGCTGAGGTAGGAGTCTATGTAAAGAGTTCGACAGGGCTGCACCATCTGGCCCAGCGCTTCTTTTGTGAACGTCATGCGATGTCGATAAAGGACAGACTGTTTTGCGATGGCCAATTTTCGTTATACGGAACGAACGTCTTTGAATGCCCGGAAGTCAATATGATGAAAGAATTAGCACCAACGTTGAGCAGGTGGAAGCGAGCGGCTTGGGAAGCTTTGCCGAAATCAAGTGCTCGTAAACAGGTTTAGAGCATCCCGAAGACCGGGAACAAAACCAGCAACAAGGTGCAGCAAAGCTATTGGGATGGGAGAGACACCCTTATTGTGGGTGGTGTATGCACTGGGATGGCCGGTACAAAAGTAAGAAATCCAGGGATCGGTTGCAGAGCAGCGCATACGTGGCCTGGAGAAATGAATCAAGGTCCACGAGGGTTACCAGGCGGAATGAAGAAACTTCTTTAAATTGGGGATTCACGCTCGATGGACGCTGTTTGCTGCAAAATTTCACAACTCGGTTCTGGGAGCGCTCGGAGATCAGAAAAAAATCATTGGAGGGGAATGCTTGACATCAATGTTGAGCGTGTCTGCGGTGTGTCCTAGGTGGGCAAAGCTTGCTCTTGGACGCTATTCACTTATTTCTTCACTGAGTTCAGTGCGTAGACAGCCGTACTTTGAGCCATCGGTCGCCACAGATGCACTTGATACTAGTTGGCTCGCCGGCTGCCGCCGGTCGCCTCCTTCTCTGATGCGACCCATCGCTTGTCAAACTGAACTAATACTGGCTTTTGTCTCATTCGCGCGCTTGATACCCAACCACCATTAGTCAAACATACGAAAGAAGGTTTGTGTGGCGAAGCTGGGCCGTCATAGCAGTCGCGCGCGCGAGCCGACGCTATAGTTTATAGTTGCTATAGTTTGAAGACGGCTCCCGCGATCTAGTGTTCCGCAAAACGCGTCTCGGAATTTGGCATCCAGGTCCGCACTCGCACGAAGTGCAGTCACAGATGTGCGACCTATGTGGGCTTTGTCCTTTTCAGTCTGCAAAACAGTTAGTTACGCGAAGAATTACGTACGTGCTTCTATTGCCTGCAGGATCGCAGGACGATTTCGTATGCTCGTCGCAGAGAATGGTAGCTGTCGGGTGCAGAAGCTCGTCGTGCATTGCGTACTGGATTCGTAGTTTCAGATCCATTTCAGACAGATTTTTCGAAAGCCATTCTCCACTATAGTTTTTATTTTTGCTTAGTTATTTTGAGTACTCGATGGCATTTAGTACTGGAGGAAGCGAAGAAACGATTGTGAACGGGGGCCGCCTAGAGACTGCAGGGTGTCGGCTTGCCAGCAAGGCCGCAAAACTCTACGGTCAAGTCGTTGAGAAAGTATTTCAATCAGAGTGCTCTTGAGATTTCTCTTCTGCTTCCTTCTCTATTGGGAAGTCTCCGTCGGCTACTGGATCATAACTGAACACCCACGACACTTGAACGGGGGACTTGTCTTTAAATTGATGTCGAATTGCATGAACCATATGCCTAGTGAATGGACAGAAGAAAGGAACATAAAATGAGGAGCTCCACAGCAGAGTTTCGATTCAGCTAATCAGATTACCTCGATAGTCTTTTGAATCTGAAGCTTACCTAGAACAACATGATTGAGCTTGTCTTTCATATCAAATCGTTTTCCTTTGTAAGTCACAGCTTCAACGGTAAAAAGAATTTTCGGATTCACCTGAGTTCACGTTTATAGGCAAATTGTTTATACTGTGTTCATAATGTATGGAAACAGAAGTGTTTTGAAAAACCTGTTTGAATCTATCCAGTACACCAGCTGGCCCAAAATCAACAGAAGCACTACACCAGACTGCGCCAACAGCAGCAGTAGCAAACATGGCAACAGCTGTTTGGTAAGAGTTCGGAAGAAAACCGCACACGACATCATTGCATGCAATTCCTAAACACCATAACTAATTCAGACATAACGGACATGGAAACTAAGTCACGCTAATAACGCTGTACCAGGCAACTCTCGGCTATTAGTAAACCCGTCAGCTCACCAACATCGAAATCGACGCAGAATATCAATCGCTATGTAATCCTTTCTCTAAGGGGAGGGGACATTATGCATACAGAAGAATTTGGCAATCGTTTATTGCAGTAGGCTGCTACCTCGGATCGTGGTAGGATCATGAGAAGCAGTGGTGTCGGTGGTGTATAGGGTGGAATGTTGTATTAGTCTGGGCGTGCCCCCCGAGAGGCTTTGACTGGAAACCGTTTGCTTGGAAAACCAATTGTTATAACTTGGCTGGTTCAGAACCCTTGGAAAAGTATTTGTTACTTGCTTTAACTTAGCCTGATTTCATCACCGAAAGCTGCACTCAGCTTAGTCACTTCTATATCGCTTTCGAGGTGCTCAGTATGACCTCCGATACCAGATATGGTGCAAATTTCGTCTAGAGTATTTGTGTAAGCCCAGACCGTCGGTCGTTTTCTTTCCTCAATAACAGCTTTTGAGCTCCGGAATCGAAGGTGAACACGAAATTCCTGCTTCCGACTTTCTACATATTACCTCCGACAGTCACTAATACGAGATGTGAGACACTTTGATTTGGCTGTGAGATTAGCGACTCTGTCGTCTCCGGTTCTGTAGTTTGTAAAAGAACCTCCTATGTTTGATCAGAGGCAGATCTGACAGCTTTGTCCTTTTGAGTTCCTTTGGTTGGCGTATCAAGAGGCGTGATTGTGACCGTTCGCGTTTGACTCCCTTTTGAAACAAATACTAGGATGATGTTCTTGTCCGCAACAAGGACAATCTGGTTTTTGGCAATCGTAAGTACTGCGATTGCGTGAAGCATTTTCAGCATCTGTTATCTTCTTTTGATGATTTGCGGCGGTTGCTCTGGTCTACAACTGTTCAACATGCCATTGGAGAAAGACTGCCTTTGTGGCAAAACAAACACTCGTCACCAGATTGAGCCTGGAGCGTAATTTTCTTGCGGTTGACTGGCCTTACTTCTGATCACCTGGCCAGACTTGTTTCCGATTGTCTGCCCAAGCCTGTTTTCGACTTAGAGCTTGGCGGTAATCTCTCGTTTGAGATCGCCCATTAATTCTTCTGTGGTTTGACTACGAAGCGCCTGTCCGATTGCCTTGTCTTGCAATAGGATTTCCCTTTCTTTCCTCACTCAGGATATACGGTAAAGCTCGACCGCATCCACGCATCAGATCAGGTACTCTGCCGAATAAGACAACTTGGGTGTACCGCAGTTGGTCTAACAAGAGACGCACTACTTCCGGTTGGAAATAAGTTTTTTATTCCGCATGGGTCTAGGAGCGCCTCTGCGTGGCTTTGATGAGCGCAGAACCCATCAAACGATTCAACGTAACCATGTAGCGTATCTCCCCTCGGTTGTCGTGCCACTGCACCGGAGAGGAGCCATTTTTTTCTTCTTCTTTCACGGCGCGACAATGATTTAATGATTGCTGTTTGCTCGTGAATATTTATGTATTGGATGCATCATCCAACTGGTGCACCTTATATTACGCCATGAGGTAAACGTGATCCGCTCAAAACGCCGACTGAAAGTATTGAGCAGTTCAAGAAAATGATGAAAGGGATGACTGTGGAGCTAACTGCTGCGTCTTCAGCTCTTTAAGGAGAAAGCCACGTCGTTGCGTAGCGACTTTTGTTATATATTGGCCTCGGCATCAAGCGGAATTATTGAAGAACCGGCTCCCATTAAGCCTACTGTATCAAACATTAGTTCGTTACTTACCAAATAATCTCAAAGCCGTAGCAAGTCTTGATACATCTTCACGAAGTTCGGAATACGTATAGCATACAAACTCGCACTTCGCATCTGAAGCAATGGAAACACGAAACTTATGGAATATACCAACAAAGAAGAAACTATGCGTCCACGCACTTGCAGAAATGAACGCAATGTCTTCATCTTTTCCCCGCAGGCAGTTTTCAGTATAATTGAGGGTGGATCCACGAAACCATTGAGGGAAATCGGTTATGCGCTTGCTTGAATCTATCACCTGAGTGCAGCAATAAAATTATTCATGAATAATAGGGAACCGTTGAGAAGGCATGAGCATTTTCACTGGGCACCGGTATCTAGCAGCAAGTTCAGCAACTTTTCTTGGATGTTGTCCAAACATCGGAGTTCAGGTAAATTGACTTACGCGATTTCCTTCCTATTTCCTACCATTGAAGTGGAAACTTTATGGAATCAATTCACTGATTCCGTGAACGATTTTAATACAGGATTTCTCAAAACTACGGGTCTACATATAGTCTGGTTCACTGCAGACAAAGAAGTGTTTCAGGCATGATGACTCTTTCGCGGTGCCAAACCCACCAGTTGCTGAAGCTAGCCGATGACAAGAGTTATTATGACGTTCGTATCACTCGTTTTCTACCAACTGTTGTCGCACACCCTATTCAACAACCAGCAGATAACGGGTCTGGCGCCGCAGCACGCTCATACTGCCTGGCACGCCCCTTCATCACCAGCGAACTAGAGTATATATTGCAACAAAGGTCCTAAGCGAAGAATGATAGACAAACATCTGCATAAATTTGATTACACTATATGCGACAAGGCACAAGAATCAAGTGTTTTCTACCTGCAAGGGTACGAGCGCGAAATCTTTTCATAGACTAGTCGCACGTAGACATTTCTTGCCCATTTCCTTTCATTGATTTCCCAGTACTCTTTCAGTGGCTCGGAACCATATGACAAACAAGTCAGGCTTTGTTTTTTTTCTTTTTTGTTTCTGTTACAGGGCTACGATCAGACGTCAATTGGATTCAACTCCTGGCAGCAATATAGACATTCTTCGCAGTCGAAGAAGTTGAGCAGTTTGCGTCAGAAGTGCTCTTGAACGGGCTTGCTAGGACTTCCAACTAATTTGTCATTCCCTTAAGGAAACTGTGTGCGTTGCGACCGCTAAGGGTTTCGAGGACTAACTGTTTTTGATATCCTATCTGAAGAAATGTTAGGAAGTGTTGACCTGTCATCGGGCTCTGAATTAATGGATCCCAGCATCGCTGATGATTTTTTTAGTCCCACGAAAACCTCAACGATCTGCTCCGTTGCAATCTCTGTCCGTGCATGCATATGATTGCAAGTAGCATGCTAGATGAGCTTTTGTCGTCTAGCAGATATTACCCTAAAATCCTATGAATAATGCGGAAGGCTACAAGTTGGAACCGACTGCTATTCCCATAAGAGGTAATTGTGGAGTGGTTTCCAGCAGATGGCATCATGGAAGCAAACACAACAGGTTAGGTAATCGAGAGATTGAATAACATAGCTTTGATGCAACGAACTAGGAAAAAGAGTGTAGGGAAGACTAAGTAGGAACTTAAATAGAGGACATCGAAATAGAGTCAAAAAATAAAATCCATCTGTATCATCTTGCTCAAGTTGGTCATCCGAGCTGCTCAAGCGGGAGCCAGTAATGTGCCCATTCATCTCTCCAACATGGCAGAGTTGTCCGATGAACATTACACTATTCTTTCAGAGCTCTCTCAAAAAAGTGAAACATCGCGCAGACGGTCGGGCAGGTATTTGTCTGGAATTCAATCCGTAATCGCTGCGCCTCTACTCTTCGGCCGTCGAGGGCGTGCGAAGCTCCAGATTTCCTATACTAGCTGCTTCCAGCGGGAAACTCCGAGAATAGAAATTTCGCTGGCGCCTTGATTGACACTGTCCGGCTTTCGTATAGTCCAGGTCCTTAGGATGTAGGTTAGAAGAGGAAGAACTGCGGAATAAAAGAGCTGAGCATGGGACCGGGTATTCCTCGTGCTCGCCGCTAGTCCCTCGATGTTTTGAATGCTCCACAAGCTGCTCGCTCTCTCCTACTACGCTCTAACCAGTCGGGTCGCCCGGCTGACGCCGAGCTCTCCTCCTTCTCTTTAGCTCGACTTCGCCGAGCTGGCCTAACTTCGCCAGGCGCGCTCCATAATAGGGAAGGAAACTCTTTCAGTTACTGGGTTGCTCATGCAGCGCTGTATTGGTCCAGTCATAAGAGACAGAGCAACTCTGCGGATCCTGCACTCCTTAACAAACGCTTATACTTGCGGTCCGCGCCATAACGCCCACACAACACACAGACCTATGGATATAGATACGAAGTGCACTCGATCAATATAGCGCTCGCTGAAGTATAAATAATTTTAGGTACTTTACTCCCCTATTATTCACCAGTCGGAACGCCGAGCTCTCCTCCTTCCCTTGAGCCCGGCTTCGGGGCTCATCTGGCTTCGCCAGGCGCACAGCAACGGGATGGAATTTCTTGAATGCCTGAGCTGCTCATATTGCGCGGTAGTGGTCGAAACATATCAGATAGAGCAACCTAACGAATTCAGCACTCCTCAGATTTGCGGAAGGCGTGCTGGTTTCGGCCATAACGCCCATTCCATGCGTAGGAAATAGATAGGAAGTACAGTCAGCCATGAGCGCAATATCAGTGTGAGTTGCACAGCAGAACAACGATTCCGTTTTTATTACCTGCATCACAACGCCAATAATGAGCGATTCGCTTGCCATTAACATGCAATCCACCCGCTAAGGTTGCATGACTAACTGCAGATGCCAGTACTCGGGCTGCGTTCGTTAAATATCTTACCGACTACTTCATTATTCGATCTCATCAGTGATCAAAAGCTTTGAACAAGAAAAAAAAGTCAAACAGTCACTGAACGCATAAAGTGTGCTCAAGTATTTAAGTTTTTGATTTTTCCGAACTTCCTGTTTCAGGCTAATTATATACCCCCCTAGTGGGATGAGTTCATTTCCTCGTGCTATTAGAGAAGTGATAGCTGGAAGAAAAGCTCGCCTACTGATTGTGAGAGGCTTTTTTGGCAGCGTGGTGGTCA